ACTATTTCCTACTTGCGCGGTTGGCTGATTTGATAGACTGAATACTCCAATCACAGATTGATTACTGCGATGTGCATAGAGATTGGGTCTTGATATTGTTTTGTGTTAGGCGTCTTTGTTTTTTTTTTTTTCACTTTCACTTTCACTTCACTTCACTTCACTTCACTTCACTTCACTTTCGAATTTCTGGGATTGCTTTGCTCATTAGCATATTCCCTACATGATTGATACGACTTGATGGTTTCTTGGGGACCAACGCTTTTTCTCCTTATGACTATATGATTCTTGATCTATTTGATGATGTTGGTGGTTTTTTTACTTGGTAGAGTTAAATTATCTATTAAAAAAAAATTGAAACACTTGTTTGTATTCGTTGCCGCTTGAAGAAACGAACTGGGAATAAGACAAGATCACCACTAGCATACCAGCAGATCAAGCAGCGCGGTGCAATGACAACTGAACCAGGATGAGCGTACACGAGCTGTGGACGTCGGACATTCTCCACCCCCCAGAGCCACGCCGTGGAAGGCGGCGCGGGAGGGAACTGCTCTAGGATTGAGAGCCGGACAGCGCTGTTAGCACTGAAAGCTTAGGGGAAGACAGTGATGATGTATTATGCCAGCTACCGAAGGCCACTTTAGGCCTCGGGGGGCACTGGAGTCTTGGATATCCAATGGAAGAGAAATGGAGAGAAGAAGATCTGAAGAACCGGGGCTTTATAGGCCCTAAATGGTGTTTGAACTCGGTTAGGGACTAGGGCTACGACTGTGAACTCTCATCAAAGTAGAGGTTATTGTCACTTCCACAACGAAGTGGCCTGCACCTATCATTCAACATATTTTCAGCTCATAGTCATTTAAACCTCAATTGGCAACTTAGCAGGGTTTCGCTGAATTGCAAGGGTTTGATGACTTGAGATAAATGGAATCTTAACATCTCAACATAAATGGACATGCCTCAACTTTTTCTTCTCTCTTTTTTTCTTTTGTCTTCCTCAAAGAACCTCCGGAGGCCCAATATAACTTCTCCCAGCAACATCAGCAGCAAACTGCTGCATTGCATCTAATACTAACATCAAACTTGCCTACCCCAACTCCAATTTACGGAAACAAGGGGGACAATGAAGGGCCAGAGATACTGGGAAATAGGGCACGGGCATGTCTTTGGTTCCCTACAGCACAAGCTCCGCCGGATGCTGTTATTACGCAAACCAACTCTCCACCTCCAATTGCAACGGAAAAAAGAAGAAAAATGGCGGACAGTGAAACGTTCGATTAGCGCGTCTTCCGGCTCGTCAGCAACATCGAAGTCTTGCTAGGACAAGCAGTAGGCGAGAAGTTTGGCAGATATCGAATGTGAAGACTGCCAGAGAGACGTTACCATCACGTGGCTTTGTCGCCCAATACAACATAGACACCCCGGGACCTCATGGCTCAACTTTGGCTAGATAGCAATCGATCGTCTTTCGCCATCCTACCAACTTGACGTGGAGGTTGGGAGCAGCGTTAACGTCATGTTTAAGAGAGGTACCAAAAGAGGTGGTAAAAGAGTGCTTGCTGGTACGGAGCTTGAAAAGGTGAGGGTCTATATTGAGGACCACAAATGACATGTAAATCCACACGCCATGCGAGTTTCAGTCGAAGTTCGGTGGGATCAATTCTCATTCCACAAAACCGGTCTTCGTCATGACAGATCTGTTCTCCTATAGTTTGAACGCGTACTTTATACTTTGTAGTAGAAGCTCGCTTAAATCATAGACAGCAAAGAAATACGTAGAAGAGAAAAACAAGTGACTTCGTTACGGATCATGGGCATTCCATGGAGACATCTAAATACATTGAACATCCAAATTTTTTACCCTGCTAACATACCTCAACTTAACACGCTTATGCGATGTAGGTCGAGGCGGACACATCACCACCACGGCCGGTCCAGTTAACGTGGATATCCTTGCCCTCGGGGAAGGTCTCGCTAGCGTTCTCGGGCTTGATGCGGAAAGTGTGGGCACCGAAGTAGTCACGCTGGGCCTGGAGCAGGTTGGCGGGCAGGTTCTTGGAGCGGTAACCGTCGTAGAAGCTGAGAGCAGTGGAGAAGGCCGGAGCGGGGATACCCCACAGAGCGGTCTTGCTGATCACGTTACGCCAGCCGTTCTGGGCGTTGTTAATGGCCTTCTTGAAGAAGTCATCGAAGAGCAAGTTCTCAAGGTCGGGGTTGTTGCGGTAGGCGTTGGTGATATCCTTAAGGAAGACGGAGCGGATGATGCAACCACCGCGCCACATGAGGGCAATGGAAGGCTTGTTCAGCTTCCAGTTGTACTCCTTGGCGGCCTATATTGGGGAGGAGGATTAGAAAATGACTCATCAATCAGGCCGAGAAGGGAAAAAAAAACTCACGTTCTGGATGAGCATGAAGCCCTGGGCGTAGGAGATAATCTTGGAAGCGTACAGGGCCTGCTCAAGGTCGTCGACGAAAGCCTGCTTGTCGCCCTCGAACTTGGGAGTAGGACCGCTCAGGATGGTGCTGGCGCGGCCACGCTCATCCTTGAGAGCACTGAGGCAGCGAGAGAAGACAGCCTCACCGATCAGGGTGACGGGCATGCCGAGGTCCAGAGCATTGATGGCGGTCCACTTGCCGGTACCCTTCTGGCCAGCCTTGTCGAGGATCTTGTCAACAAGGGGAGTGCCATCGTTGTCGTTGTAGTAGAGGATATCACGGGTGATCTCGATCAGGAAGGAGTCAAGAACACCGGTGTTCCACTTGGCGAAAACATCACCAATCTCCTTGGAGGAGAGACCGACACCGCGCTTGAGGATATCGTAGGCCTAAATGATGATGTCAGTGGTTTGCCCGAGAATGTTTTGCTTGAAAGTAGCCTTACCTCACAGATCAGCTGCATGTCACCGTACTCAATACCGTTGTGAACCATCTTGACGTAGTGACCGGCACCCTCGTCACCGACCCAGTCGCAGCAGGCCTCACCGTCGCTCTTGGCGGAGATGCTCTGGAAGATGTCCTTAATGTGGGGCCAGGCCTCCTCGTTGCCACCGGGCATGAGAGAGGGTCCGTAACGGGCACCCTCCTCACCACCGGAGACACCGCTGCCAACGAAGCTGATGCCCTTGGCAGTGAGGTACTGAGTGCGGCGGTTGCTGTCGGGGAAGTGGGAGTTACCACCGTCAATGATGATATCACCCTTCTCGAGGAAAGGCAGAAGGGACTCGATGAAGTCATCGACGGGCTTGCCGGCCATGACGAGGAGCATGATACGACGGGGGCGCTTGAGCTTGGCGCAGAACTCCTGAATGGAGTGAGCACCAACGATGGACTTGCCTGTTTTCTAATGAGCATTTTTGCGAAAAGGGGATTGGAAACCTGTTATTGTCTGTAGAGCTTACCCTTGGCCTCGTTCTCCAAGAAACGGTCAACCTTGGCGGTTGTACGGTTGTAAGCGCAAACGGTGAATCCGTGATCAGCAACGTTGAGGATCAGGTTCTGGCCCATAACGGCCAGACCGATGAGGCCGAAATCAGCACTAGGAGCAAAGTGCGCCGGAGCGCCGACATTGATGCCGGCGAGACGGGCGCTATCGTCAGCGATCAATGTCTCTTGTCAACAACTGGATAAAAATCACAATGGGAACAAAAAAAAACAAAGGGAAAGCCGTGAGCTTCCGAAAAAATAGAAAAACACAGATCACAGACTCGCAGACTCGCAATAGCATAGCTCCAATGGTATCATCTTGCCCAAGCATCTATAGGGATTCGGTCTTCCAAATAGAGCAGGTGCATGATGTGTGAGTAGCATTGAAGATCCACGCGCTCCGGTATCACTTCCAAGATGCAGGTGTAACCTGGAATTGGTGAAGAGAGGGAAGGTAGACTTACACAGCTTGGTCAGCCATGACGATTATATGTGAGATATGAGGGTGAGGAAAGTAAAGGTGAATCTAGAGAAGAGAAGAAGATGAAGAAGGAGGGGAAGGGGAAGAAGAAGAAGTAGCCCCAACCGGCTGACGGAGCAACTCTTCCGTCATCTTTGGTGGGACATACCGGGGGGGTACCATGTACCACCGCCGTTCTTACTGTCTCCGGTGTGGCGCCAAGTATTAGCTACAGGAGCAGAGTCGTCCGGAGTCAACCCACTCGGGTTCTGTTGTAATTTGGAAAGCCGACTCGGTTTTCAATTCCTTATGTTGCTAGTATATGCATCCTCTGTTTTGGTTTTTTTTTTTTCTTTTAAAACATAGAGTACATGTGATTGACAATGCAGCTTTTACATAGTACATTGTGTATGATAGCGGGGCATGGAGGGGTAACTGGAACTTGAAGAATCCTATATATTCCCTAGTAACTATGTATACTATAGGTATCAAGTAGAGAATAATGAAATAGAAACTTAACCGAATGTTCATGTAACTCATCGAAACCATCCGAAATCAACCCCCTCTCCCACCTTGTCCACGCATCGGTGAACTGTTCTGGTAGAGTTGCGACGGAGAAATCACTTGCCGATGCGTTCATACCCGCCTGCGTATAAGCTAGTCTGCTTTGGGACTAGAGTGGGGGTAGCAGGGCCGGCAGCGGAATGACTCAGCACGAGGGCTGCCAAATTGCTTATGTCATAGCTGAGTCAGGAAAGCTTGATCAAGTCATGTGACACAGCCGTCCGCCAGCGGCCTGGCCAGCGCATTCAGTGACAAGAAAAAAAGTCTCAACTATCTCACTTGCCATTTTTCATTAATTCCAACCCAGCGTAGTCCTTGGAGACGCGCGTTTTTATAATCTCCCAGCCTTTTTACAGTGATCATCTACAAGCCGCGCAAACCTTTCGCCTCTTGCAAGTGCTGATCCTTCGGGTGCCTCTATCAAGCGTGACGTCTGGCGAATGACTGCGGCGTCAGTCAGGCCCTGAAGGTACGTTGCGGTTGCTATTCTGCATCTAGCATTCTCGTCTCTTGCGTCTCGATTTTCTCTCTTCCCTATCTGGATATCCCATTCATCATGTCCCTTCCGCCTCCTCCAGGTCTCAACAAGACTCCCTCGTCTCTTCCGCCCCGCCCACCTCCATCCTCCAACGCCGCGCAGCCTCCCACCGCCAATCCTGCAAGCCATGGCGGTAGATCTCGACCAACCGGCTACAGCGCTTTTACGGCGTTCCAGCCGCGCGCGGTAGCCTCCAGTCAACCGCATCGCGCCAACATCCACACGGTCTCGCGTCCACCAGTCCCTGCTGCTGGATACGCAACCCCCACCAGCAGCTACGTTAACCACTATCACCAACCCCAGGCATACCAGAGTGGACCTTCCTACTATGGACAACCTCAATACGCCGAAAACACGTACGGCCCGACCGTCCCACACATTGCGAACCCCTTCGGATCTACCCCCAACCAGACCAGCACAGGGTTCCCACAGAGCGGTGGCGCTCCCGGCTTTGATGCAGAGACTGAAGCTCAAATTGCGCAGTGGCAGAGTGCATATAACAAACCCGCCGAAGATTCCACTAAGAACCAAGGCAACCTGCCCGGTTCAGGGGTGAACACAGGAGCCGGAACCCCAACCTTCGGCCCGGGAACTCCTGTCCCGCAGCCCGAGTCACAAAAGACAGTCATTCGCTCTGGTGGTGGTGAGACATGGACCGACTCGACCTTATTGGAATGGGACCCCGCACATTTCCGCCTTTTTATCGGTAACCTCGCAGGTGAAGTGACGGATGAATCTCTGCTCAAGGCATTTTCTCGCTACCCATCGGTCCAGAAAGCGCGTGTCGTCCGAGAGAAGCGAACTCAGAAGAGTGCAGGTTATGGATTTGTCAGCTTCAGTGATAGTGATGACTATTTCAAAGCGGGTCGAGAAATGCAAGGAAAGTACATCGGTTCGCACCCAATCCTACTGCGCCGAGCCATGACCGAAGTTCGCCCAGCTTCGAACCCCAAGCATGGAAAACATGGAAAGAAACAAGGCAAAGGCAAGGGTCCGAAGGGGGATAACGCTGGTGGAGCAGGTGGAAAAGTTAAGCAAGATGGTGTCAAAAAGCCAGCCAAAACCAAGGGAGGATTGAAGATTCTGGGTTGAGTCTATGAATGTAACTGGCACTTTATGCAAAGAATAATCCTATTATGTCCACATGTAGTAAATCTAGTAATGATGCTTTTCCATTACTACATGTACTATTAGTTATATAGTTACTGAATCTCAAAGGGTATCAACTCAATCTGTAAATGACATGGATCACGTGATTGACGTTGTCGCCTGAGGCAGCTTTGCCTTCTCTAACTATTGCCTCTGTTTGTACGGAGTACTTCCAAGGTATTAGGTACAATATTCCATTAACAGTCTTGAAACAGAGTGTTTCAACCAATTCATTGTTATTTCTAGCCTCCCGCCAACGCACATATAATGTACGGAGTATTATGGGTACCTAGCCACAGTATGTGGTTAATACATTGAGTTCCCCAGCCCCTCTAAAAGCACATGGCTGGGAGAAAAAAAAAGGTCCAGTTTAAAACCATTCACATTCCAGCTGATCCAATCTTCTTTATCTCTCCTTTCTCACATTCTTACGATCTATTTAATCCCGCTTTCCTTGAAAAAAGGGGAGTTGCCTGTTGCGAAAAGAGCTAGCCCGACGAGGCTGTATACTTCCGTGTATACAAAACCCACCCAACGCATTGCTGCCCACCTGTACACGGCCTGCCACTTTGAATTCCACACCTTGTGTTTGATCTTACCTATCCTTCTATCGGCTTGACAACAATCGAAGCTCTGCACATCTCACCGAATCATTTACCTCTCTACCACGATCTGCTGATCGTCTCCACCCAACATGGTTCAGCGCAACATCACCATCGCGATTATCATCATCGTCCTCTTCCTCCTTCTTGCACTCGCTGGATTTGCGATCTGGGCGGTAAATAACCACGTCTCATTCTTCTCCAAGAAGAAGGAGGCCGATGCGGAGAGCGCGGATGGGTGATAAGGCAGGGTAGCAGCAATAAACACTGCACCCTTCACCTAGGCTTTGGCCTTGGGCTCTCTTGGTCTCGCTTTTACAGGCATTGATTGCTTTTTCTTCGAAACATACAACACATACATACGATCACACACACAAACATCCATGACCACGACATTTTCTGCGACACGATACCCTTTTTGTGGGCATATAACACTATCTGCCACGATGACGAGCTGCGTTACGAGTCTTTTACGTTGAAACACGCCTTTTTTGTACAATTGTTGGCGATTGAAAGCAATCAGTACATACGTTGCTTTCGGTGTATTTTTTTTCGTTTCTTTTTTGGGTATTTCTTTTTGAATATGGAGTTGGAGGTCTTTTTGGAGGTCTTTTTTCCTCTGTTCTTTTCTTTTTGGGTGTATCTGGTTTCATTTGGTGCACATTCTTTGCTTTGAGAACCCCATGCTGCATATTCCTATTGACAGTTTGAAAATATCATGAGTTGACAAAGCTTCGAAACATCGATTTAATTTTCACATATTTCCATACCTATATAAGTAATGAACACCTAAAGAGTGTTCCAAGGACAATCAAGGTAAAGATATATCCATTGATGTCTTGATTTTGACAAGCATACACAACAAACAAATTATTCAATTGCACTGCCTCCGGGGGTATACATATGTACCCAAGCTATGTAGGTAATAAAACATCCCACCACCAAGAAAGCCCTAGCATACAAGAGATTCCGAATAGAGAAAAAAACCATAACGCCCCAGTAACAAGATGTCTCGCTCAAAAAACATAACTCAAAAGCTCTTGTCCGCGAAGAGCCGTGGCGACATGCCAAGGCAGTGTGTTATTTTGTACACTGCATATGCCCTTGGCCCGGGCAAGACATCCCAGGTCCCGATACATACTTAAGGTATCTTTCAGAACATTATCGTGGGATGAAGGAGGACGGGGGGAATAGATGAGATTGACGGAGATTGCAAATACGCCGTCGCCATCAGTAGTGCCTTTGCGGCGAAGAAGATACCCGCTGGACAGGGCGGGTCGGAATTCGGTGAGGTGTGGAGAGCTGTTGAGTCGGTGGGATAGGATGGCTAGCCAGGAATCGTCGTAGATATCAGTGAGGATAGCTTCTGAATCTGTTTCAAGTGACATTTCCGTTGGCGTGGGGGCATTGTAGGCAGCGGGACCAGCGCTGGTTGGCGTGGCTGCATTGCCTGATTGTTCGGGGGATGCAACACTGGCACTTGGATTAGGAGTCGAGACAGGGGTAGATGAGGACAGTATGTTCAGCATAGCCATTGATATGGGGGGAACTGGTGGCTCAAGAATCAAGTCGGGGACAGTGTTGACAGCTAGGATGGTCAATTCCAACGACCCAGGTCTTAACTTATTGTGCTGGTCTGCAAGACTAGCCCATGCTGTGAATGTGTTAGCGATTTGCCCGTGATATCAGAGAAAACGATAAGCAATACCTTCAACCTCATCGGTTTCTATAGGCTCGGTGGTCACCAGCTGCACTTTCCATCGTGCTTGGAATTTATCCATAATATGTTTCGTCGTAGCCCAGATTTCATTCCTTACCTCGGAAACCGGTCTCGCACCACTCGACTGACGATAGCGCAAGCAGTAAGACATGGTTCTTTGTATAGAACCTGACAAATCAGACCACGCTACCGATATCCAGCGTTGATCAAGACTTTTCGAGTAGGCAATATGAAGGCTTCGCCCATCTTGAAGCGGCGAGGATCTTTCAGGGGCAAGCCGGAAACTAATAGCCCTCGGAAGAGCGTCAGCCAGAAGCATTGGTGGTGCGCAGAGCAGGGGGCTCATATCCGCATCATCTGGGCGGCATCGACTGTAGACTTCTAGAGCCAAGTTTAAATAATCCGTCTCGGGAGGTACAACCATCGTTTCACTCGACATGACGAACTCCAGTGGAATTATCTGCAGAACAAGCTCGTTGAAGATTCGAGTCTGTCTTCTTTCGGAACCGGCTACCAATTGCTGGAAAAGGTGCCAGAAGGCGGAACAAATGTCTGCTAGTGCCGCAGCGTGCGTAAATGGGTTGATGATATAGACAACATTGTTATCAGCAGTCGCTGGGGATTGTGAGAGCTCCGAGCCTTTAGAAATGTTAGTCAAAGGTACGTAAATGCTAGATAAAACACGTACCAAGCTGCTCGCATGTTCTCTTTAATACCTGCATCATAGATTCATAACTAGATGTTTCAGATTTCCATGGCCTCAGCCCGTCTTCAAATGCCACAGAATCGTCTCCTCTGATATGAGTTCCAAGATTGCAACTTTGGTATAGAAGACCAAACCGTGTCAAGAACACATCTGCTGCTTTTGACGCAGTTTGTGGGTGAATACAGTACGCCGATATGTTCTTTGGACCATGAGCAGGCTCAAGACCAAACGTCTCCCAAAAGGATACAGCTGGAGGAAGAGCCTCTAAGTATTCTTTGCCTCGACGCACACGTATGTGGGGCGCCGATAACTTTGAAATGAAGCTTTTCGGGGTCTCTTTGGGAGGCGCGGGATGTTGTGGCGGTTGTTGCTGCGGTTGGTTCGCAACAAATTCATCCTGTAGTGATGTGTATCTTTTGAAGTCCATTTTCGAGGTCTCGCCCAAGAGGGTTGTGTCCTCGAGGGCTTGTAGCGACAAAGACTCGCTCTCGAGATCAAAAAGACCAATTTGCCCATCAAGTGGATGTTTGAGGGAGGACTGCGTGATTTGGTCAACCAGAAGTTGAGCAATTTCAAGCTGACCTTCACGGCGAAAAAGTACAGGAAGTTGTTGAGGTGGAAAAGCAGAGAAATAACCGGTTAGCGTCCAATCGGAAAAATTAGCTAGAAAATTACCCAGGAACGTAGAATTCTCGGCTGCGTATGTGGGACTTGCTTCTGTGACAGGCAATGACTTATCTTGGGATGCAATCGAGATTATATCAGATTCCGAAGGAGCTCGCTTCCGCTTCAAAGACGGGATTGAGGGCACGGCTGCAGGTGTTGGAACATGCTCTGACATTATCTCGATACTGTCGTCGCTGTCGTCACTGCTCACTGAGGCTGATCGTAAACCATTTTCTGATTGGGCCAGGGATAAACTGGGTTTGTTGCGTTCCTTCGAGGAGCCCGGTGCGTTGGCGCTGCTCCGCCCACGGTGAGGCATGCCGATCGTGGGTATAGCAGATGTCTGGTTTAACGTGTCCAACGAGCCACCACCGGAGAACCAGAATTTGCCAGCTGCTCCGTACTTCCGATCCCAATCACCAAGTTTCTTTTCGAATTCCACTGGATGGTAATGCCCTTGTCCCCGGTTATCTGTAGACTGTTGATGGTCATCTTCCTCGGGTCCTGGAAACAATATCTTTTTCACTTCTACTGGGCTCAAGGGCGGGCTGATTGTTTGACCTGTGCGATCCATCGGTGAATGAGCTAGTTCTTCGGGGGCCATGGGCTCTTCAGATAACCGTGGGGCTTCGTCATATATTGGAGAGGCGTGTGCCTCATGTGTTTCGACTTCAATTGGGATTTCTTGTGGCTGATTAGGAGAGGGCTCTGCATCAACCATGGCCTCAGCCTCCGGTTCGACCGGAGGATGAGGAGCTTCAAGGGCTTCATCTGCATCCTCGACGAGGGAGTTACCCTCCATGCCATCGAAATCAGGGTCATCAAAAAAGCTGAAATCCGCGTCGGTGATACCTTTCGACCCGAAATCTCTTTCGTTCATTTCCCCAAAGAGATCTTCTTCGTCGCTTGCATCGTATCGGCCAGTGCCAATTCCAACACCAATATTCTGAACGGGCGACATATCAGATCCTGGTGCGTTTCTTCTTGGGTTTCGTTGCGTTGTATGGGGTAGCCCGAAGTCAGAATCATCAGCAAAGGCTTCAGAAGGGTTCGGATTGTTCAATCCGACTACTGCAGTTCCATCTGGGGGGGTTGGATAAACAAGATTCGTGCTTTGCAAATCGGGATATTGCGCAATTCGTGATAAACTCTCTATGCTTTCCAGAGGTTCAGGTTTGAGTGGCGACGGCATTTCTTGGTCTTTTGGTTGTGGGTCTTGGGTGATAGGAGTGTTTTGAGCAGTATGGGA